GAGACAGCCGTAACCCGACCTCTTCCATCTAGGGATGTTGCTTTAATGTGAGCAGAAATAGGTTAAAGATTTAAAGCAATCACTACGCGATAGCGGAATGTGGGTATTGTGGGGGGGGGAGGAAGAGGGGCTTTAGGCATTCTACGAGCTCACTTCAGGAAAGGTGCGCGCATGGGTGAGAGGTTTTGACGATGAAGGAACGAAATAGTACTGAGACAAAGGGAGACGCGGCAAAATGCAGATCGCTGGGACTGGATGCAGCAAGCCCCGGATGGGGATTGGGAAACTGTGCGGCTCTATCCGATCGGTGTTGCATCCCTCATGGTCAAGGAATAGGAGGATACCTCCAGTAGAGATGCAGTTTTGGAGACTCATGCCTGGCCCCTGGCGATACAAGCCCTTGCCTTGAACCTTAGAGCTGTGGTAAGTCTGTAACCAGTTTATCTCGCATGCCAACGAAAGGACTCCACTCAGCTACTTGTGAAGTACGTCTTGAGGGACCGAGGGTGCGGTGACAAAGCAACCTGCTGTATCTGCTTTCATCCTTGGAAGGAGAGTGATAGAGGTATGAAGGAAGAATGCTATAGAAGGACCCCTGCACAATCCCTCACTAAAACAGTGAGTGCAGGAAAAGGATTTCCTCGACACCAGGGCTCGTCCCATTTCTCATGGTGGCTATTCCAGGTATGCTATGTTCATGTCTTGGAATTATAAAGCTCGTATGGCAACGGAAGTACCCTTCATATCCTGCGGAAGTGCAGGCAGAGGCGAAATTCGTCTGTGGGCGCGCAATACTCCACGCGCGGTCGTGAGGACGCTCTCAGCTAATGGAGGGTCGTCCCGGCTGCGTTAAATTTAGTTCGGGCATTTCCTGGCCACCTCAACCCTTCATGAAGGGGGCTAACTCTTACTATCACTAGAGCTGTTGCAAATGTATCGTGCCAGTATTAAAAAGGATCCAGATAAACAATCGGATCAGGACCCCAGGCATACCTCCTGGAAGCAAGCACTGCGCAAGGACGTGCACTCTGTTTCCTGCTAGAGGGCTTCCGTAATTGCAGACTTAGTCGTGACACACTTGGGCCGTGTGCAGCTGTACCCGGCCGTGGATGGATCCCCAAATCTCTGCGACTCTACTCCAGTCGAAGGCGCAATCTCCAAGGTTAAGAATAGGGTAAAGTAGAGAGAGACAG